CGGAATACTGCCACCCAGTTCCGGCGACTTCCGGTGTTTTCCTGCAGGATACGGTGAATTTTCCCGCATTTTCCTGCCGGTTCCTGCAGGATCTGTTGTCCGGAATCATTGACCTGGGTTGCTACATATTAATGTGCTTCTTTCAATTGAATCGTCTCTATTTTGTTTTTGCTTCTTTTGAAGCTGTAGTTTCTTTTTGGTGCGATCAAACTCTATTTCTCTGATTCTCATCACTAGTTAACATGCGATATTCACATTTACACAATAAATTATTAATGATTCAACTTACCACAGGACTTGTTGATAAAGGAGAATTTTTGAATTCGACCATTTCTCCAATCAGTAACAAACACATTGCCATAGCTATCGAAAGCAAGACCCCACGGAAGCCTTAGCTCATCAGATCCTAAGCCGCTTTGATGCGAACATCCAAATAAACAACGAACGCCGTTGGGTCCCCATCGAATGATACGATTATTGTTTTGATCAACAATAAACAAATAGTTATCTGCATCGAGAACCACTCCTGTAGGATAGTCAAGCGCGAAGTTGATTGATGCTCCATCACCTGCCACTGTGATTGCATTCAATTGACCAAATTGAAATAATTGAATTCTATTATTTCCAGCATCGGCAACATAGAGATTAAAATTAATATCGACAAATATTCCGATAGGAGAAGATAATAAATTCGATGCTGAACCTGCTGTACCATTACCTGCAGCAATTACCGATGTATTTCCATAATCATCAATGGAACATTTATTAATCAAGTGATAGTTCTTTTGAGAACAGTAAACAGTATTATTGATGTCAAGAAAGAGTCTAGAGCATGGTTCATCGACTAAGAGTACAGTAATAGTGTTTTTCATATTGAATGACCATTTGTCAACTTGGCCGTTTGAGTAACCATGGTTGACATAAATATCGCCATCGATAGTAACAAAAATACTATTCGGAAAGCTTATATTATTAAAAATCTTTGCTATTGAACTACCATTTCTTTCAGATAAAACGAGAATACTGTTAGTATTTTGATCTGTTACGTAGACAGTGTTGTTATTATCAATGAAAATATCGAAATCAGACGAACCAATCGTGCTGTTGTCTACAACGGTGACGCCATATGTATCCCATGATGCTGATGCACACAATTTAGGCTGATTAATCGATGGTGCTATAAATTAAAACACATCTAAGAACTTTTGAAGCTGTAAGGTAGATTCCCAGGTCGAAAAGTACGGGCCGGTTCCGGCAGGAAAACACCGGAAGTCGGCGGAACTGGGTGGCAGTATTCCGGCCGGAAATTCTCTGTATTTTTTCCGGTGACTTTCCGCCAACTTCCTGCAGGAAAC